TTAAAAAAAAACGTTATTGCGATGGGAAAGTCTGCTGTTAGAGACCTTTCCAGAGTACTGAAGAGCAATAGTGTCACTCTGTAGACTAAGGTGCATCTGATACAGGCTATGGTCTTTGTAATCACTTGTTATGCATTAGAGAGTTGGACAATGACTAAGGAGGCTAGAAGGAGAATTGATGCATTTGAGCTGTGGTGCTGGAGAAGAGTATTGAATGTACCCTGGACTGCCAAGAAAATGAACTGATTCATCCTGCAGAGGGTTAAACCAGGCTGCTCCTTGGAGGCAAGGATTCTGAAGCTTCATTTGACATACTTTGGACATGTTGTAAGAAGGGAGAGGTTCTTGGAGAGGGACATCATGCTTGGGAAGGTGGAGTGATGGCACAGAAGGGGAAGACCCTCTATGAGGTGGATTGATTCAGTGACTGGGTTATTGAGGATGGATGTGTCGGAGGCAGTGAGATTGGCACAGGATAGAGCAGGGTTTAGGGCTGTTGTACATAAGGTCGCTATGAGTCGCAAGCAATCCAACGGCACATAACAACAACAAAAACAACATATATAGATTGAAAAGATATGGAGATAGGATACATCTTTGACACACACTGTTTCCAATTTTGAACTATGCAGTGTTTTCTTTTTCTGTTCTCATGACTGCATTCTGGTCCAAGTATGTTTCACATAAACACAATCAAATATTCAGGGATTCCCATTCTTTTAGAGTCAGCCACAGTTTGTTGTATTCTCCAGTCAAATCCCTTTGTATAGTCAAGGAAACACAGATAGACATTCCTCTGGTATTCTCTGTTTTCAGCCAAGATCCATCTAACATTAGCTACAATATCCCTAGTACCATGACCCCTTCTAAAACAAGTCTGCACCTCTGGTAGTTCTCTCTTGATGTGCTGTTCCAGTCGTTTTTGGATAATCTTCAGCAGAAACTTGCTTAAATGTGATATAAATGACACTGTTTAATAATGTCTACGCTTTGTCGGATCACCTTTCTTTGGAATGGGAACAAATGTAGGCAAGCAAAATACTGCTGAAGATCATTCAAAAACAGAACAATACACAGAGAACTGCCAGAGCTTGGCTTTTCATCAAATTACCCAGATGAGCATAAGTACTGCTCCTAGAAGACAGTCTGAAAATAAATTTCCAGAAAAACAAAATCTATTTCAGGAGGGGAAGATGATCCCGGAAGTATTAAAAAAAGATGGAAGGAATATACTGAGTCACTGTATCGAAAGAATTGGAAGACAGAAGAATTTCATGAAACAACATATGAGCAAGAGCCTATGGTGATGAAAGAAGAAGTTCAGGCTGCTTTGAAGGACATGG